TGGTGAGCAAACTGTATTAAAACAAATATAGAAAATCTCTATGATCATTTTGGGGCCAATTTTAAAGCTTTTCAGAAAATCTTTGAATGAAAAAATGATGTTTTGTCAGCATTAATCTTAAACTATTTCTGACAACCTGGGATGCAAACATTAATTCATAAATAATTGCATTTATAATATGGCTACTGCTTAAAAGGGCCAAGGTAGATAATAGCATAGAATTCACAAGAGCGTTTGATATTAAGATCATAGAAGACTATGTACACTTTTGAATAATCAACATTACCATTACTATCATTGCCATAAAATTAAATTGAGTCTGAATCAAATAGTTCATTCAGCAGACATAGTATAAGCCATTACAATTAAAAATTAGAGAAGAAATCCTTCCTTGCCATTGATGAAGCTGAATCATAAGTAGTTGTATAATAAGTATATAACTATAACCATAAGTATACCATCAATCCATGGTATACCACAGGGAAAGGTTGGTCTTTGTACTTAGCTGGTATCCTCTTCTTGATTTTAGAATGGTTTTAAGTTTCTTTGTTGTTAATTAGCATTTTAAATTATTATTATAAAGTTTCTTTATATTACATTATATATCTATGTATTACATCTATATCATCTATCTAACTATCTATCTATCTATTTATCTATCTATCATCTATCTATCTATCTATCTATTATCTATCACAACTTCTACATCTTTATATTAAGTCATACATTTTCTTTACATCTTAATGAGTAATGAGTATAATGGTCATAAGTCAAGGACTACATGTAGTACTTTTTTCTCAATATAAATAACTAATAATTACATTTCTAGTTCTCTAGTGCTTTATTTGTGTTTAATTTCCTTTACATTGTGTGATGTGCATTATCTGTCCAAATGCTTGTTCAGAAAGGTAGTCTTGGCTCAGCTTGTATGACAATTTTGCCAGATGTTTCACTTTCACATCTAAAGGCACCCATGAACATTCAACCTGGGAAATTATCGTAATAGAACTAATAAATCCAAAGGACAGAGAGTTAGGAATTTTTAGTTTCTCCTGACAAGCTATTTATTGCACTGGGGGTTGATTTTGTCACTTGGCAAGCAAGGAATATTAATGAAGCATTTGCAAAAGAGGTTGACTATGATTGACTAAAATCTACAGTGCATGATATCAAGATGAATTATTTGCCATGACCTTTCCTCTGACCTTTTTATCACCACTTTCACCATTTTTAAAGGCAGAATATGTGTGCACATTGCTACTTGCCTTTGTCTACCAGGCCTATTGTATTTGCTACATACATTTGCACATTTTCAAGTTAGATCCAAATTGCATTTATTTGCCCTGATCCAGCTGGTGTTCATAGTATTCAATCATGATAAGAAAAACTCCAGGCAATATATGTACAGAATCTAACATACTGTAAGTATTGTAAGTTGCTCAAAACAGCATGTGCCAAAATGTGTTTATTATTTCCTCCAATCCTTGCATCCAGTAGCTGCTGTTTGGGATAAGGAACAGGGTGAAATTCATTTCCACTTCTCTCTTTTGTCCTTCAAACAGTTCAAAAGTGACATTTCTGTTCTTTTAAATAAAAATATTTTGCATGTACTGCTCTGTTCAATCAGAGGGTTTCAAATAAAATAATACAATGATAGCCCATTTATGATTTTGCAATTGTTCTTAAATTATTATTCACAATATTACTGGGGATTTAGGCAAGGTGTCTTCTGAACTTTTAGCAAAGTAAATGGAAGTCATCGTATCTATCAATGGAAACAGGAGAAAAAAAATATTTTCCATTAGCCTGCAGGGGATTATGAAACTAGAAAAGATGATTCCTATGAATGCTCCAATGGACTGATTCACACAGTGTTACTCTCCTGACAGTTTTAATTCTCACATTGGTAGTCTTGGGGGAGGGGGGGAGTCAGATGTCAATTTTCCACATGATATTCTTTTATCTGATACAAACAGTAGCTCTCAGTGAAAGCCAAATTTGGGGGGGGGGGGTGAAAACCAGTCTTTGATCTAATTAAATTTGAAAAAAAAATCAGAAAATCATGAGAACTAAAGTATCTTTGTGCTTTTTTGGATTTTGGCGTCCTAACTAGCCATACATTCCTAGAGCTATGTTTATTGTCCCTGATCATTATCCATCAATCATATGGAAAATACTTCTATCATAAAATGCTGCCAGCTGTGTATATAATTTAAAAATTATTAGCAATCATTTTTCTGGATCTGGACATAAAGGGAATTTTTTAATAATAACAGCTCATTTATTTGCTAGTACAGAGAATACTAACATGGGAGGAAAAAACTTCCTCCTATCCACCCCCCACAAACAGTTGCTAAACTGTGCAGAGCAAAACAAATGTGCTGGATCTAAAAGTCAACTTAAAAATTTGCAATTTAAGATTCTAGAAATATAAAAAGCTTCACACCTGGTACTGAAAAGCTCACACAAGGCACCAGAAACTACCTTCAGGGTAGATATTTCACAAGCAGAGTGCTATCACAAGCAGACACATTCTACATTGTGGTGATGACAGAAGAAAGGCTTTTAAAAGCAGTATTAAAATGTGGATGGCTATATTCAAAGACATTCAAAATTCCTTTAGTGTCACAAAAGTTGTATGATTTGCTTTGTTAGAACAAAGAAATAACACAATGTACCTCCACTAAGCAAATTGTGCCTCCTTCAACCACTTTGTGCCTTTAGTGTGAGATTCAGCCTTCAGGATAGCACTGAAATTGTCCTGCCTGAATGTGTGTAGAAAGTTTTGGTGTGTAGAAAGGTTGGCCAGTTTTGTGCAGGCAGAGATTCCCCCAATGTTTGCCAAAGTTGGCAAGCCTAGAAGCCGGATGGGGAGCTCTGGAGCAGAAGGATAGGAGGAATATAAAGGAGAATAATTCAAAGTAATAAACTTGCTCCACTCTCAGAAATGAGAATGCACATTGCTTTACCAAGCAGCTTAGTAGGTATTTCACTTGAATCTTCATAGAAGTGAATTAGCCCTTATGTATAACTAACCCTCTTCAATTTAGCTTGTCTGTGAGAATTCACCCTAACATAAATGGTAATGATTCAATAAAATGTATTCCACATATTTATCTCTAAGAAAAATAGGTTTTGATATTGACTTTGTACTGTTATAATATACATAGTAATATTAATAGTACTCTGGCCATATTGCACTATTCAGTACTATTAGTACCCTTCAGTACTAGAGTACCTATCTAAAGAAGAAGATACAATACCTATTTATTTTATTGGAAACATAAATATATTTATTGGACTTTTCCATTTTTTTATTTTTTATTTATTTTCAAATATGTCCCTTATTGTAAAATTGCTAAACTTGTGTATGTCAAGAAATAGTTGCACAACTGTTGCACTTTAATCCTGGAATCAACAACAGGTATATTTTATATAATGGGATTATGAAACTCCTATTGCTATTCTTCCTAATTCCTGTCTCCTTGTTTCAGGTAGTCAATCCTGAAAGCCCAAAATCAGTAACAAAAATTTGTAATATGTAGATACAAAATGGAGAATTTGGTATCAAAATTAAAATATGTATACCCAATTTTGAAAGTGTTTATCAATATTTGACTGCTGATGGCTTTACAGATTCACAAGACAAGTTGAAATAGTGGAGCTGATTAATAAAAGCCAAATAAGTTCAGGGTGCCACTGATCAAAAGACTTAATCAACTATGAGAAAGTGCATTTCACATTTTGTGCATATGTTTTGTAGGCATCACAGAAACCAGAAAATATTTTTGTAATATTATCACTTAGTCTAAATGGCACCTTGTACTAAAACCACATATTAGTATTTATCAAATAACTTGCAGATTACTGATATGAAAAAACAGAACAGTGGAGACAAGAATCTTCAGATTTAATTATGTTGTAAATTACTTTCTATTTTAAATAATTATGAGGTAATATGCTTCTTCAGGTCACGGGGAGTTCCAAAAAAATTGGTTATGAGCACTTGTCTGAGTAGAAAATCTGTGTGCATTGATCTTTCCCAAGAGATTTGTTACATTATGAAAGCAACATGAAATTCTCATTTCATAAGAATTTAGCAACTTGGTTCACAAACAGCAAAGTAAGCCATGGTTTGTTTAGCCTTCCTTCCTTTGTTAAACTTGTTATTTTGCTCAGTTTGTAAGCCATTGGCTATGGTTGCTAACTGCAACAGTTGGAGTTAGATCTCTAGATCCGCTTTGTGGCTTTCTGACAAATGCAAAGTATATGTCCATGTGCATTCCAAATCACTTATCTTCTTTCAAATAGAAAGCATTGCAGAGCTCCAAAGTGTGATATATAAAACCAGGTTTTCCATGGTTCTTTATGGCATTGTTATTTTTTTTAATGTAATATATTGAAACACTGCCCTGGATTGCATAACAATGCAATAACATAGAAGTTTATTAATGGTTCAACAAATACACTTGGAAATTCATATTAGTTGCTACTGCATAGTCTCTTAATGCAATATTGTTTGAGCTGTGTTTGATCATTATCTTTGAAATAAAGATATTTTTAAAATGAAACATAAAGCAATGGCTGAGATGGTAGGCTATATTGTCTATTCATAAAATCCTATTGAATAAGCCAATCTTACTTTGCCAGAAATAATTAAGGTAGATTGGTATTAGCAGAATAAAAGGATCCCTTTATCCCCTGTGATTAATTGCTAAATAATATTTTGGTACTGTGGATCAATGACCTGCAAAAGTAACATCCTACTTAAGAAGGATTTTAGCAGTTGCCAAGATTCATCTATTCCCACTCTTGAAGGCATCCTTGACTATTATAGACAAATAGTTGTACTTAATAATACAGTGATGGCAACTTAACAATGAATTGTCAATTCATGTGTGGGAAATAACAGCTTTTTGAAATTAAGTTTCAGTGACTGTGTGCTATAAAGGAAAACAGCTATTTAAAACACAATATCAACATTTTATTTCTCCCTACAGCATAGTTACAAGAAAAAAAAGAAATGCCACCTTCAACAACAGCACCGCAATATGCTCCCCCTGATGGAGGATGGGGTTGGGTCGTCGTCTTTGGAGCTTTCATCTCCATTGGATTTTCCTATGCATTCCCTAAAGCCATCACAGTGTTCTTCAAAGAGATACAAGAGATCTTTGGCACATCATATAGCGAGATAGCGTGGATATCATCAATCATGTTGGCTGTTATGTATGCAGGAGGTACCAGAAAACTTCTTGTTTTGTCTGATATGGGGTCAAAATAAAACAAAATTCACTTATTAGGTTTTCTGGCACACAACCCAAAGCCACTGAGCTATGTGGCTCCATCACCCAAATGCTTTGGTTGTGTACCTCAAAAATAATTGCAAAATTTACCACCTAGTTTAAATATGACTGAAATATAAATTATCTGCATTTGTCTCACTTACTTTGGTTTCTATTATACCATTGAAAAACTCAATGTGTCCTCAACTTGAAAAAAGAAAAATACCTTGCTTTTAGACTGTAATCCTATACCTGCTTAGCCAGAAATAATCTCTATTTATTGTAGAGAGTTGTTTATCAAATTGTGCTGTTTGGGAGAATAGCTGGTGCTTTTTCCTACTCTTTTTCAACCCCACCAATAACTTCTTTGAGGGGGAAAAAAGGAGGAAAAACCTACGTAGAATGTTTTGTCTGGGAAAATAAATTTATAAATCCAAATTTAATCAACGTAGTACACTTGTTAGAAAGAATCAAAATATCACAAAATATTGAACCCTAAATTTGAAAGCATTGGTTTTGTTGAGCAAAGGAGATTAAAAAGGGGCTAACAAGAATGGAAATATCATGCATACAGTAAAGTAAACCACACATTTTTATGTGCAAATGGAACTAGAATAGGATATCAGTGTCAGGGTTGCTTCCTTCAAAATCCAAGAAAGAATAACCCAAACTCCATTTTTTTAGAGATTAGTACTTTTACTGAAAATGAAGCGATCGCAACCCAGGTAAAGCTGGAACTAAGCAAAACGCGCGAAATTGCATGTAGAAAGCATCTCCCCCCCTCTTGTCCATCGTCCATTATCCAATCCAAAGGTCTCCCAAAGGTCAGGTGGAATCACGTCTGGCAACGTCATCCATCAGGAATGTAATGACGGTTGGTCTGACAGCTCCTTTGGAGAATCGGTTTCGTTTCGCCCTTCCCCCCCTTCGCCCCCCTGTTTCTTATGGCAGCTGAAGCAGTCAAAGCGGAGGCTGACAATCAGGATGTAATTTAGGATATTCTAAAGTTCTTTGGGCAACATCAAAAAAGCTTTAAGAGTTCTTGGAATCTTTATTTCAAGGAAGGAGATAGGACTCCAAGAGAAGGGCAACCTATCATTAGATCTCGCATCTTTTTTGTCCATCTGTTTACCAGTCTTTTCCTCCACTAATGTTTACCTGGGAAGATCTCTGAAACTGCTGTATTAAGGTAGAAGGAGATCAGTATCCAATATTGTTTTCCATTCTCTAATGTGGAAATCCCATTGCAGCTAAACTAATTTACCATTTTATTTAATAGTTTATATTGCCTGTGTAAATTAAATCTTGACTATTCATTTTGATAATTTCCACTTCACACAATAAACTGGGATTTCGATGGGTCCTTTGATTGTGGAAGACTGTGGAGATTATTAGAATGTTTTCACATCTCTTAAGATACCTAACATCTTGAAAATACTAGGATAACTCTTCTTTGGAAATTCATATTATAGTGCAGACATTTGAACTCTGTTCAAAATAAATTCTGCATCTCATAAATGAAATTAGAAGTACCTTCTACACTGTACATATAAAATAGGAATTGTAGCACAATTAAGCTGTGTAAAATTCTTTTGTTATCTTGCTGGAATCATGTGATTTTAACTGCTAGCAGCAGGTAAGTTTGCCAAAAGTAAACATTCTTTGAAGTTATAGTTACCACAAAATAGCTTCCTGTGAAATAAAGTCATTAAACAATCATTGGCAGAAGATGAAATAAGTAAACTATTCAAATAATGAAAGTTACTTCTTTGTGGGGCTTTTTTCTTATCAAAATCTGATTGTTTGATTTCAACTATTTGATGTACTATAGCTTGGAATAAAGCAGGCAGCACATATGGTGCAAAATGCCTTATTTATGGCAAAGCAGGACAGATATATTGGAAATGTTGTGGGCACACTCTGTATCTCTTAATACTAATTAAGAGAATCTGAAAAGCATTTGAGATCTGACACACTCATTATGATTTAGTGCTTTGCTTATTAATCTTCACAGTGGGGTCATCAGGTAAGTAAGAATCTAGCAGAGGATCTCCGCTTCAGGAGCATTCAACCTTCCGAGGTAATTAGCAGGCATCTGTGTTTCCATAACAAGGTATTAACTTACCTTTCAATATTAGGGAAAAAATGAAACTAATAAAAGACATCCAGTAAGGAGCTAAAGGAATGTTAATTATGTTTATCACTTACTTCATAGTTAGAATAAATGCCATTAAATTACATCAGGCCATCTGGCAAATCCATATGGCCTCCTAGATCATGGTTAATTCCAGCAAATAGGTCGAGCGTGGTGTTTACCCCTTCAAGAAAGCATAAACAAGTTCTGCTAAACTGCAATGAACAAGATTTGCATTCCTCATGTTCTTTCTTTAGCATGCTCTTGATGTGACCTCTCTGTTCAGATCAAACTCTTTCAATAACTGGAACATCCAGGAGTCTGTAGCAATGTGCCTCTATGAGCTTTCTTTTGCCATAAATGTGGAATGTATTGATTTGATATGTCATAAAACAAAATAAAGCTCAGGGATGCAGGCAAACAATAGTATTTGGAGTTCAGTACTGAAGTTTAGTCCAAAGAATCCTTCATTCTGGAAAGGAATAGTTAAGACTCCATGGAAACTCCTTGTTCTTTAGCCTGAAAAGCACAATTGATAACTTTGAGTCATTTTACAAATTGAAATTTAAAAACCCATTGAGTTTGTTTTATGAGAAATTTAGGTGTCACATATACAGATAGTCCTCCACTTGCAATCATTTGTTTAGTGACCATTTGAAGTTGTAACGGCACTGAAAAAAGCGAACTTAGAATAATTTTTCACGCTTACAATCGCTGCAACATTCCTATGATCACATGATCAAAATTTGGATAACCAGTTCATATTTATGACAGTTGCAATGTTCTGGGGCTATGTGATTACCTTCTGCAAGCTTTTACAAGAAAGGGAAGCCAGATTCACTTAACAACCATGTTACTACACTTAACTGCAGTGATTCACTTAACAACTTTTAAAAATCTTTTAAATATTTTAATTGGGGAATTTTATGGGTAAGGGGTTTTAAATTGGGGAAGCCAAAGATAAATTTAATTTCGTTTTTATAGTATTTTAATGTTTGTATTGTGTGTTTTTTAATTTTGGCTGTTCACCGCCCTGAGTCCTTCGGGAGAGGGGGCGGTATAAAAATTAAATAAATAAATAAATAATAAATAAATAAATAAATAAATAAATAAATAAATAAATAAACAAACTGTGTCAAGAAAGGTTGTAAAATGGGGCAAAATTCACTTAACAACTGTGTCACTTAACAATAAAAATTTGGGGCTAAATTGTACTCAATGACTACCTGTACAATTTGATCTCTTAAGCGCTCTTTAATATTTTATTTTCTTACTATCTTTTATTCTTGGTTTAAATTCTGCATGATCCTGACTGTCAGAAACATGACATATGGAAAAGTAACTTTCTTTGTACATCTCCTTAGTGACTGTATCATTTCACCATAAAGTCAATAAAGAAACTCTCAATTAGTCAGATGATGCCCTTAATGAAATGTAAAGTATAGGAATTCAGTGACAGCTTGGTCATCTCATGCATATATGATCATTGTATTAGTTTAATGATAAGTCGAAAGGAAACCTGTTTTGCTGCTATTTTCTGCATCATTAACTTCAGCCATTTTCAACACATTGATTACTGTTGTGAGCTGGATAGTGGTTTATCAAGATAGAAAACTGCCACGAGGTTTTGGACATTCATTATGACACTTGACAGCACCGGAAAATGAATACAGATCAAAGGTTTTTTATTATTATTTTATATATTTATACCATATCTTCCTTTACTAAGAAAGTGGTTATTTCTATTCAATATTTATCAATATGTCACTGTTTCCAAAAAAAGGATACTTTGCAACTAATCTAGCCGTTTTATCTATTTGCAGTCAATGACCAGCATAGTAGATACAACACTAAAATAACCCATGGAAGCAGGCTCAAATGAGCAATAAAGTCACTATTTATAACTGCTAATTAAAATTATGGATTAGAAGAAAAGAGAATGAAATAAAACAAAGAAAAACAAAAGAGGAAAAATGAAATTAAGATAAAAGAATTAAAGGACTAAGACTAGAACACCTTAAACCTTGTTAGGTTCATAGTTGCCAGTAATAACTTGGCAATTCTGTTTCTTATAGCAGGTTCCAGTTGGAAAGAAGGAAATAAATCTCTTCTCCTTCACTGAAGACTTGATCTCTATTTGGAAGTGGTATAAGTTTACCAGCATGTACAGTACATTCTCATAGAAGAAGCAATAAAAAATACATGCACTAACGTCTCAGATTAATTTTGGTCACAAGGATAACTTTCCTCATTAAATGGGATTTTATGAAACCTCCACCCAAGGGTAGAATATTAAAGCAAGCCAAAAAGAAGGCTGAACAAACAAGATTTAACATATAATTTAAGAGGCTAAAGGTTTTCCAGAAAGGAACCCATCAATGTAGATTGCCTGTAGTGCTCGTTTGTCCATCATGTAATATCAAAGACTCTCAAAATCAAATTGTAGTCCTCCTCAACAATAACTTTATTTTAACTTTGAGGGGGATTGTTTAGTTTAGTTATTATGTATTGAGCAGTTCATTGAATTCCATGAATCAAAGGGCAAAAGGTAAATAAAATCATATAGCAAATGGTTCATTATTAGTCAGCCTGTTGTCTTCCTGTGGTTCCAAAGACTGAAAATGCCCATTTCTACAGGATATTGGGAGTTGGGAGTCATAAACTCATCCCACTGCTGGCTCACATCTTCGATAGGTATAAAAAAGCCCAGTGTGTCCTCAAAAATAATTTATTTGATAGTTGATGAAATACAAAATCTGCCTCTTGCCAAGGATATGTTAAGAGACATGGAAGGCCTTTTTTTTGGCAGAGCTATATCTTA